GTACTGCGGAATGATATCTACTGAAAATTCGGGCTTTCCTTGCCTATATTTAAGTACGAATAAAGTTTTTCTTCGAGACCTGGAAATGGAGCTATGTAAAGAACACCCACAACAAATTAATGAGCAGTTTTTCGCAAAACAGAAACTGAGGCAAAATCCGGACTTCGTAGTGATATTCGATTACTATCATATTCGGACGTACGCGACATATCTGATAAGAAGCCTCGTTTTTTATCTGCAAGACGACGTTACTCTGTCTCCTCCACTCTAGACCTTCTCTGTTCATAAGATAGTCTCATGGTCTTAATAAGCTTATTTTAATTACACTAGAAAGCTGTCCTTAATGGAGTCTAATGTAACATGACATCATGAAATACAGTAAAAAATGTTAAATAAATAGATATACAAGTATTTCATCAAGCAGATACAATAGTGCGTTTATTTGAAAAGCGTCTGTTAAAGCTATTGAGATCAAAAATGTACACTAAGAAACTGCGTGCATTAATTTTCATATGAAAAACATTTCAAATTTTAATATTTAAAAATATCTGCAATGGCAGTTATGGCACAGATGAAGGTCTTACATGCAGCCTAAGAATGCTTTAGTTTTTATCTAATAGGTTCACTCAAATATATAATACTTAGAAAGTTGTTAAACTTTAAGTTAATGGTGCACTAAATCAGGGTTTCTTGAACGTTTTGGTGTGGAGACCTTATAATATTTACGAAAGTTTTGTGGGACCCAGTTAAGCAAAGTGCAAATCCGATACACGCGTGAGTGAAACTGTCAGTTCTTCAATCGTGCTGTAATATACTATTGTAGTTTTAGATCCTCAACTTTAATTTTTAATTTCAAGACATAGAACAATGTGAAAATTTTAGATAAGACAAACTTAGAAATATAATACAATAATAAAAATAAATTCAAACATTAACTATGGTCTGCCCATTAAGTGTAAGCGCATGGAAGGTCACTACTGTGAAAAGCCACTTACTTCTAACATCGCATATGCGAGGATGAAGTATCAATCGGAAGGGTGTACCTGTTTATTTTTAATTATATTATCAAATCATGGCAAAACAGTCGACACCGTAGGACGAAACATTTCTTCAGTATTCTTTGCATTTGATCGACACTTTGATTTTATGGTAATTAAAGACGAAACTGTCATCTCGCAAAAATATGACGTATATAGAAGAAGGTAAAAGTTTATGGCAATTTCAGAAATCGTTGGGAATTCTTTTGCGACTCCTAGCCAAACATCGTTTAAGGACTTCGTATCAAAACCAATTTTCAACCCTGAATTATTTGATAACTCGGCAAGTTTTTATTGTGATTATTTTCCACATTAATTCCGAATGGTTTCACACACTCCATATTAATTCTTCGGCACTACACTTTGAAGGTAGATAATTCTCAAAGTTTTTCTCAAGACACCGAAGATGTTCATTTATCATTATTACTAATCATCTTTTTGATGACCTATTTCATCATTTTCACTTGTTGCGACAAACATTTCTAATGAGCTCTTTTGCACCATGCTTCTCCATATTGTAATTTTCTTAATAAAAGCATCAATTTTTGATTTGAATATGAATATGTTGCAACTTTTTCCTTGAAGCGACAAATTTAGTTCATTTAGTTTTCCAAATATGTCACTCAAATAACATTTTGAAGCCACAACTTATTCTGGAATAAATTCGCAAAATCATATTTTTGTCGGTTAGAAAGAGAAGAATCTTTTAATTTTAATAACCTTTTTAAACTGTGGTTTCTTGAAAGCCACAGTTGCATATAACAATAAGCTTTTGTATTCAGAAGCCATCTCTTTAGAAAGATTTGAAAACAAGCGATTGTTCAGAGCACGACTTTTAAGTTGACCACTTTAGAACTATCTCGAAGGTTGAATTCATCGGGGGTCACATGCGGCTGAGGGCAGCGCCTGATCTTTGATTTTTCTGATGTGGGGCAAAAGCTAAAACTGCCGCCCTCACCCATCATACTTTAAGTTTCTCTAACAAATTTTCATTTGTTTAATAAATACAGAAATAGATAGAGTTTGAGGTAAAAACCTAAGCTCCGTTTTATACTAAATTCTTTACCTGCCAATTTCTTTTTTTTTTTGGTTGTTGTTCTTATAAAGGAAAAATACTTGAAAATCGTTCCCTCCTAGGAGAATCTCTTTTCTGGTGAGCTTTTTTTCGGATTCAATCCTAATCCTAACTCTAATCCTGAAGTGCTTCTAACCCTCCAGTCCTCGCCACCATTCGTTTCTCCGCTCTAGGGGAAACGGGCATCTCCTAAGGACCCTCGGACCGAACTACTAGTGCTCAACGGCTTTTATTGCTCAGCCACTAATGGGGTCACTGCATACAAAATATGGGTTATTGCCGAAGGGAAATATTCTGAGAAGATTATACAGAATATGGGCTATTACTGAGAGTATTCGTGCTTCCTGTCTTGTTTTTTATATTTACTATTCTGAGTTGAGAAATACCGGGTGGTTATAAGTTCCACTTTGAAATGGTCATAAAAGGAAAAACTAGAGGACCAAATGTTATAAAACTTGGTATTGTGTAAAGGAGGTCATGGAAATTTATTTTCCGCGAAAAAACGTTCAGAAGCTCGCCACCAGGGGGAAATGGCGCTGCATGCAATATTGTTAAACGAAATAAGGGTCGGAGTCCAACTTTACCTTTGGTTACACGGATTTAATAGGTTGTATACCCATAAGAAACATTGACCTAAACAAAACTACCATTTGAAGGCGATAAAAGTCGAGTACGCCATCCGTGTAACGGTGAAATCCGTCCATGAAAACAATAAATTTGAGATTAGAAAATGTGAGATTGCAAATCACTTGCAAAATTGTGCGCATTCCGGAAATCGTTTTCTTAACAAACCGCTCATGTTATTTAATCAGTTCCATTGCATTCTCCTAAAGTCACCGTTTGGTGTGGTATGACAGCTAATTTTATAACTGGATCATTTTTCTTTGATGAGCATTGATTTCTTTGATGATTCAATTGAAAGATGAGATACATGGACATGTTCGTAACATTCCTCCTGATATGCTGAGAGCTGCTGTTGAGAATGCAGTAATACGATTTAATTTGCTTTCGGAAAAGGGTGGACGCCACATTGAATATGCTTTGTAACAATGTTTCAGAATTGATTAAACACGTTTAAAACTGATGTCTTGATGTCTTATTTCGTTTCACAATCTTGCATACAGCGCCATTCCGTCTTTGGTGGTGAGTTTTTGAACTTTTTTCCCCCATGATTTCCTTTACACAATTACCAATTTTGATAACATCTGATTCAGTGATTTTCCTTTTATGACCATTTCGAAGTAGAACTTTATAACCACCCTGTAGTTTACATGTCTGGAAATGGCTTTGTAAACTAGTATACTTAGTAGATATATTCTCTGTTTTAAAGTATACTTAGTAGATATATTCTCTGTTGTTTGTTGTCTCAACTTATTGTTACAAGGCCAAGCAATTTCATTGTTCAGGATCAGTGAACACTGTCATAACAAAACTAAATTTATGGCGAAAGAGAGTTGGTAATGGAGAAGTAGACTTGTTTCCCCCTCTTCATGAGTTTATAACAAGTCCGACTGATGTTTATACTCTGAAATGCATAGCACAGCATTTGAAAAGTTTGCAAGTGGTATAGAAAAACTATTTTCCTGATTTAAAGAAAAATATTGAATGGATAAGATATCCATTTAACATTAACACCATTCATGCCAGGAGACAATTGCTGGAATAGGCTTCAGACGAATTTCTTGAAAAATAAACATAAGGAGTGTACTTTAACATCATTCTAGTTACAAATCCAACATGTGTGTCCGGTTTTAACAGAAAAAGTTCTGAATTATGTTGTGCGTTTTCCAACTTCATATTTATGTGAAGTTGCTTTTTCAGCATTTGTAGACATTACATCGAAAAAACGGAATAGGCTATCTGACATGGAACCGAATCTCAGATTAAAATTAGCTACGAGGGAACTAAATTATGACCCTCTGTCATATCAGAACATACAATTTCACCCTTCTCATTTATCCAAATAAATGCTATTTATAATATAACTTTTATTTATATTTTGTTATGAATAATTTTATTTCTCTTTTCTTATTATTTTGTATATGTCACAAAAAAGGAAAAAAATTAATATGTTTCGATTGTTATTAAAATACATCCATTTTTTTACGAGGGGTACTCAGCTGTACGAAAATTATAGAAGGGGTACACATACGTCAAAAGTTTGGAAACACTGCTCTAAAAGATCATCTTCAGTTTCTAGTTTGCAGTAGTTTATTTCCATTGGCGTATATGTTGGTTTTTCGTTTAAGTCCAAACTTTTAAATTATTTCTTCGATTTTATTCTTTTGGTTTATGGCAAAAGTTCCATGTTTAGTTCTTTCGATGTTTATGCCGAGGTAGTAGGTGACTTCCCCTAGGTTTTTGATTTCCAATTTAGCGTTTCATTGTCGAATTGTTTTGATTACATCTTCTTCTCTTTCACTTCCTATAAGCATATCATCTACATATAATGTTATGTATGTGAATTTTCCATTGATGGTTTGGAAAAACAAGCATGGATGCTGCTTTACTTTGTTTAAATGATATGTTTAGAAGTATTTTACCAATTTCAGATTCCAAGCTCTAGCGGCTTGTTTTAAACTATCTATAGATTTCTTCAACTTGCAAACTTTATTTTCATTTCCACCTTTTGAGTATTCTTGAGTCATATAAATTTTTTCTTAGTTCTCCATGAAGGAAAGCTGTTTTGACATTGATATGTCTGACAGACATATTTTTATACGAAGCTGCACATAGGAAAGCTTGTAGAGTTGTATATTTTACTACAGGAGCAAAGGTTTCATCATAGTCAGATCCAAACTTTTAGCTAAATCGTTTTGCGACTTACCCGGCTTTGCATCTTTCAGTTTTTCCTTCTGCATTGAGCTTGGTTTTGAAAGACCATTTACATCCTATTGATTTTCTTCCTTTCGGTAAATCAACTAATTCCCAAGTGTTGTTTTCTTCTAGTGAATTAATTTCTTCTCGAATAGCTTTCAGCCATTTTCTTTTTTCATTTTCTTCCAAAGTTTGAATTTCCGTCCAGGTTTCGGGTTCGGGAGAGATTGGATATTTTGCATGGAATCCGTAGCGATCAGGAGGTTTACCTTTTGTGACTCTGTTCTGAGTTTTAAAGGTTCTATTTTTTTTTTCTTCCTGTTCTGCGCTTTCTTTCTTAGGATTTTCTTCATCCTGGTTTAAAGACACGCTTACAGGCTCGTTCCCGTGTCTTCAATAAATCGTACAGATCGACTTATTACGATTTTGTCTCCAGGAGTTAAAATTCTGTAGCCTTTACTTTTGCTGTCGCAGCCGACAAGTATTTCTTCTATAGCAGTATCATCCAGTTTACCCGATTAAAAGCAAATGCCTTGGACCCGAAAGTTCTCAGATGAGAGAGGTTGGGTTTTCTTGTTATTCCATAATTCGTATGGCCTTTTTGCATTTGTTTTGTTCGCATACGATTCTGTAAATAATTTGCAGTCAGAACTGCTTCCGCCCAGTATTTGTGAAGTTGACCTGAGTCAGCTAAAAGACATCTTGTCATCTCTATCAAAGCCCTATTTCTGCTTTCACTGGCTCCATTTTGTGCTGGACGATACGGTACAGTAAGCTGGTGATTTATACCATGTTTGATAAGATATTCTTCAAGCTGCTTACTTGTGTATTCACCACCGTTTATCACTTCTTAGCATTTTTACATTTCTCCCAAATTTATTGTTTGTAAGAGCAATAAATTGTTTTAGTTTAGAAATTACTTCATTCTTCTTTTTCATTAGGTAAATCATTGCGAACCTGCTCTAATCATCAATAAATGTTAGGAAGTATAGGTAACCACTGACAAGACGGTATTTGTACCGGTCCTAAAACATCAGTGTGAACGAGTTCGAGCGGTTTAGATGCTCTGAATTTCGATTCTTTGGTATACGGGAAATCAGTTAGTTTACATTTTGTGCACTGAATGCATTTGGTATCATGTTTACAATTATCTAGTTTAATTCCTTCAGCAAGTTCTTTGTTTACAAGTTGTCTGATCGCGTCATCATTTCTTTGACCAAGCCGTCTATGCTAAAGTTGAACACAGTTCTCATTTTTGCACTGAAATGCTACATGAGCTGATGGTTCATTATTCCTGTCGATTGGTTTAGTTTGGTAAAGATTGTTAACTGCATGACATTCTAGAATAATCTGATCTCCTTTGATCATTTATATCCTTCAAACAGAACGGAAAGTCTTTCGTATTTCTAAGGATTAAACGGCAATTCAGAGAATCGAGAAATTCAAGTTTTACATTTATATTCCCGTCGCCTTTAAAGTACGCGTAAATATTTTCGTGCCTTTCTATTCTTGTTTGTTTGCGAAAGAGCTGGTTCAGTTATTCCGATAGAATCAAGAGACCACAAGTCACAAATTTTTCTGTCACTAATGTGTAGTGATAAAAGAACTTCATTAAAATTCTTTCCCTTTACCTTCGTTCTCCCTAATATTGTCCAACCAAGGTGTGTATTCATCGCTACTAAACTCTCCGTTACGTGTTTTATTTCCCCTGTAAAGAGTTTTCCGGCATAATCTGCTCCTACAAGCATGTGTATTTCGTTAGGGTGTTTTTCAAATAAACAAGAATTCTCATTAGTTACATCACTGGGAAAAATTTTGTAACCTCTAAGTTTCTTTAAGCATTCCCTATCCTCCAATTTTGGAATATGTGAGCATATGGTTTTTTTGGCTCAAAACTTCCATTTCGCATGTGAATCCTGTTTCTGGATTATTTAACTTAATCAGATACTTGTTGTGATTTTCCCAAAAAGCCCATGAGTCACACTTTCCTGACCTAAAGATTTTAGTTTTAATTTCTCCGCAAGAAATGTGCTGATATATGATCTGCTACTTCCGGTATCCAGAATTATTCGTATAAAATTGCTTTCACCATCTCCGTAAACATTGACAATTAAAGTTTGCAAGATTACACTTTCATAGGATGAATTATTCGTTAAGGCCTTATTTTCAATTTGTTCTTCCTTAATTTCTCCGTTTTCGGTTTTTAAAAACACATTATAGTGGCATGTCGTTGTTTACATAATTCACACCTTATTCTAGAAGTGCAATTAAAACTAAGATGCCGTGGGTGTAAACAGCGATAACAGATCCCTTTCGCTTTGCATTTCTCCCTTTTTTTCTCAGTAGACCATAAAGATGCTTGTTTACACGTTATAGACTCGTGATCAGAAGAGTCGCAGAAAACACATGGTGTTTGTCCCCCCCGCAAACTTGCGTTCGTCAACTCCGAAGCTGTGTGTTTTTCGCAATAGGTCTGGTTTCACTCACTCAGTTTGTTATGCTTTTGCGGCGCCGCCTTTGGCTGGACCGTCTGGAATGTACGTTCCCGCGCAACTAACTGTTCAGAAAGAAATTCCACTAGGTGATTCAAATCGTAATTTGATTTCCGAACTGTTTTATTATACTCCAAAACCAAATCTGCGGGCAATGTTTTAAGCAAAATAGGCGTTAATAAAGCTCCATATGTTTCTGAGGTCATATTTAATGATTCAAGACATCGAATATGTTTCTGTATATAATTGAATAACTTACGGAAATTTTGAATGTCATTAGAATCTTTTAGAGGTCTTATTTTCAGTAATTTATCTATATGGGCGTTTATCAGTACATCTTTATTTCCAAATCTTTCTGTGAGGAGTTTAACTGAAGTTTCGTAATTTTCTTCGGTTAAATCGAAACCGTCAATGGTGTTATAAGCAGTACCTCCCTCCCAAAAAGGATTTCAAATAATTAAATTTGCTTATAGCGTCAAGCGTTTTATTTTGGTGTATGGCTGATGAAAAAGTGTTCCAAAATGTCAGCCATTCGCAGCTCTCGCCATAAAACTTCGGAATCGTAAGTTTAGGAAGCTTCACATTATGACTTTCGATTTTAACGTTTTCTATAATACTTTCACTTAACTGTTCAGTGCTTCGTAACACATTAAATTTTTGTTGTTCTATATTAATTTCTTTCAATTTTTTGTTAGCTTTGTATTTAAATGTAGTTATTCTTTCACGATATTCGTCAACACCGTTTAATTCGTTTAATTCTGGTCTAGATCCTTTATGTCTATTAATTTTTCTATATCGGCATCTATTTGTTTTAACTCGTTCGATTTTTCATTTAAGAGTTCTAAGGAAATTTCTAGTTCCTCTGCATTCACTTCTGTTTTTGGTAATTCAGTTTCGATTCGGCCAATTAATTTTGTAACGGCAGCCCTTATGTGGCCGCGTTTCCTTTTCAATGTATCGATGAATTCCGTCATTATTTAATATTCAACAATTCAACAAGTATCAGCAATTCACTAATTATTTATGCTTATGTATTATCTATATAACTGATATCAATTTAGACAGTTTCAATAGTTAGGAAAACAGCAGTTACTGGCAGTCCCTGTTCGGGCGCCATGTTAAAAAATTTTATCAACTTTGTACTATTAAAATTTTTTGATCATTAAATAGATAAGTGAAAGTTCACTTACCTTCTAAATAGGGCTGCCCTGAACTGCCTGCTTTTCCTTCTTGTCGGTATCCGTCTCTATGATGAACTTCGATTCACTTCGAAACACAAACACAGCTATAAACTTTTTAAGAAATTTTAATTCGTATGAAAGATATCTACAAAATATTTACAAGTTATAATGATTACAAGCATAATTTATACGGAGACGGGCTATCGTTATACATCTGTTAGACGCGTCAGCCGTTCAACTGATTACTTTTAGTCTCTTTCGCCAGAGGGCGTTCGTGGAAGTAAAGTTCTAGTAAGCAAACGCGACAATATTATATCTAAATAATGAATAACATAAAACTAAGTGTTAATATGTATTTTTGCTTGTTTTTGTACCAAATAAAGTTGTCCGTTATTTCCGTCCTTATTCAAAATAAAATTTCACTTTCGAGCTTCTATTTATATTCTAAATTCATTTCGTTTTGGGAAAAACTACGTAGAACACAACACAACAAATTTCAACTCAGCTTAGTTTCAACAATGTAGGTACCTTAATCCGATTTTTTTCCAGTTTTGTTCCACAATTTCGATCCAGCCAGCATGCTAAACAACTTAGTTAATAAAAGGGATTGAATAAAGGTTTTAGTTTTAATAAAAGGGATTTTAAAGAATGAAAAACAATTCCCTTTCTTCAAGGGATAGAAGTTTTTAATATTTGGCTACCAAATTATCTTATATTTCATTATTTAATCGAAATCAAACTAATTATATTAGCTTGATAATTTACTGTTTAATTGAAATTTCAGCAATCACATTAGTGTAATGAACTTTTGACACTGCAAACAGACTAACATAATTTGAGGAAGATTTGGGTGATTTTTTTTCTGTTGCTTGCAATGTGAATCGAGTAAGAAAGAGTTGATCCGATTATGTTCACTAAGTAGCTAATATTTTGTGCAATTCTGTTTATAATTTTACTCACATACTTTAAAAAACATGAAAAATATATCCAAGAAAATCGTGAACACATCAATATTAAAAGAAACAGAACTGATGTACTCAGTCTAACTCCATTATATGTTTATGGAACTGACTAACAGTATGTACCAAAATTTGTGGTGCCAGTTGAAAAACCTAGTAACGGTAGTTTAATGAACCGTAATTGTTTTTTGTTTTTAAGACTTAGGCGCATGCATTTAATCGCTGGCGTATGTAATATATATTTTACACAGTAATATGCTATTCACACTAATTTATAAGTAATTATTTGGAATAAACTATTTTCTCTGTCAGCATGGTAATGTTCTTATTCACATATCAAGATCACTTGCCTTGTGGTTTGAAGGAAACCAGGTGGAAGCGCTTGCTTGGTTCTTCAAGTTCTGCCTTGATCGAACATGTTTCAGATAAGTTGGAGAATCGATTGCGTACCGTACTTATTTTACGAATTTACATACGTCACTTTTCACCAAATTACTATAGAAGAAACGGAAACAAATTCTGACGGTAGTATGGTAGAACTTATAACAAGCACAATAAACTTACCGTCAACACTGCAATACCAACAAACTTAGTATTGGATAAACACTGTACGAACAACAAACTGTTCTGCACAAAAAACTAAGCGTTATCACTGTAATAACAACAAATTTCTTATTAATAATACACCTAACAAACATTAATGGATGTCTTTCCAAACGGTA